AATAATTTTTTGTAAATTTTTGTAATTATTTTATTATTTGTCATCATGATAGTGTCCCAGAAACCTTCTTTAGCCCCGAAGTTTAGTTCTTTGTCAGTCTTATAGCAGTCCCGGATTTGCCTGTAGTTTAACCATGATAGGGTAGTAAAAATTTCTTTAATCTCATTTTCTTCTTTCAATTCATATTTCCCATTCTCTTTCCTCAATAAATCCTCATATGTTGGCCAGGTCTCCCAGCCTAGCTCTCTCCTGTGAAAAGCCTCCAGAGGTGACAGCCATAGTGGTGTGTTATTGTAAAATCTTCTTTTATATTTTTCCCATATTTTAATTAGTCCCGCTCTAATATAATGGTTAGTGAATTTTTTTTCAATTTTAATTTTATCATACCACAAGTAGGCATGCCAACTCCGTCTCAGGTCCGCCCCTTCTAGTGTCAACACATTCTTCTTTGTTAACGTAGTCCAGTCTTTAATCCAGCTAAGTCCGCATGCTTCATAATATGTTTTCAAATCAGGTAATCCAAATCCACCTCTTCTTTTTTCATCTAGTAAAACCAATCGTTTTATTCTTGGTTTCTTCCCTTGCCATACAAATTTGGAAATATCCTTATTCCATGTGTTAAAAGTACTCATATTTCTGATTATTGGCAGGGATTGAAAAAGGAATAGCATTTTTGGTAGTATATTCATTTTGATTACCGAGATTCGGCCTAATAAAGATAATTTAAGGTTTTTCCAGTTGTCCAAATCTTTTCTAATTTCTTTCCATTTTTGTTCATAGTTATTTTTCATTAGCTGGGAGTTTTTGGCTGTCAGCGTGATCCCCAGATATTTTATCTTTTCGACTACCTGGAATTCTGTCAGTTTTGCGAGTTCTTCTTTTTTGCTTTTTGAGCGATTTTTTGTTAATACCATTGTCTTTTTCTTATTGATTTTTAATCCTGCTACCCTCCCATATTGCTCAAATTTGTCCAACCATTTAGAAATATTTTCTGTTGGATTATTAATGATGCAGATTATGTTGTCTGCATATGCTCTTACTTTATAGTTTTCCTTGTTGATTCTGATCCCTCTTAATTCTGGGTCGTTTCTTATATTATTTAGTAAAATTTCTATTGCCATTATAAATAAGAGGGGCGATAGTGGACACCCCTGTCTTGTTCCTTTGTTTATTTTTATATTCTTCGATTCTTGTTGGTTTATTAAAATTTTAGCCTCTTGGGAATCATATATTGCATCTATGGCATTGATAAATTGGTATCCGAGGTCTATTTCCTTCATTAAAAATTTTAAATAGTCCCAGTTAAGGTTATCAAATGCTTTTTCAGCATCTAAACTAAGTAGAGCTAATTCTTCTTGATTATGTCTTTCGTAATATTCAATTGTGTTTAAAATAGTTCTCACATTGTCTTTAATTTGCCTGTTTGGGAGGAAGCCGGATTGTTCTTCTTTTACCCATTCATTTAAGAAGGTCTTTAGTCTTTCAGCTAGAATACTCGCAAAGATTTTGTAATCTGTGTTTAACAAAGAGATAGGCCTATAATTCTTGACATCTCGTGGATCTTGCTTTTCTTTGTGTATCATTGTGATGTGGGCTAGTTTCCATGATTCTGGTATTTTATTTTTTTGAGTCAGGATCCCATTCATTAATTTTAATAAATGTGGGGTTAGTTCATCTTTCATAACTTTATAGTAGGATGCTGTAAAGCCGTCTGGGCCCGGAGCTTTGTTCCCGTCCATTTTAATTATTGCCTTTTTAATTTCTTCCTCAGTTACTTCTTTATTCAGTTTTAATCTTTGTTGGTCTGTTATTTTTGATATATTTTGTTTACTTAGGAAGGCCATAACTTCTTCTTTTTTTATCTGGTCATTAGCATAAAGTTTTTGGTAGTATTTATAGAATTGTTTTATAATATCTTGGTTGTTTGTAAAATGTTTGCCCTCTGTTTCTATTTCTGTTATTATTTGTCTCTGTTTCTTCTGTTGGATTTTCCTGGAGAGCCATCTTCCAGGTTTGTTTGCATGCTGGAAGTCTCTTTGTTTAATAAACTTCAGCTGTTTAGCTAACTGTTCTGTTTCTAATTTCTCTCTTTGGGTATGCCAGAGTTTTAGTTCTTGTTTTATTTTTTTGTCAGTTGGGCTCTGTTTTAATTTTCCTTCTAGTGTATTAATTTGTTGGATTACCTTATCCATTTTTTGTCTTCTTAATTTTTGTTTATTTGCATTTTGTTGAATAAAATGGCCCCTCATTACTGCCTTACTGGCATCCCAAATTGTCTGTATTGAAACCTCTTGAGATTAGTTTAATTGAAAGTATTCTCTTAAAATTTCTTTATTTTTGTTTATATCTTCTTCAGATTTTATGAGATTGTCATTTAATCTCCATCTATAAGTTTTCTTTGATTCATTTAATATAAGTTCTATGGGGCAATGATCTGATATTGTTCTAGGTTGGATCTTAATGTCTGCTGTCTTTGTGAGTATATTATTTGAGGCCCAAATCATATCGATTCTAGACCATGAGTCATGTCGATCTGAGAAGAAAGTATAGTCAATTTCTTTTGGATGTGTTTTCCTCCAAAGGTCATTCAGATCAAATTCTTCTTTCAAATTTAGAAATCTTTGAGGTAATTGGTTCATTTTACTATTTTGATTCTTCTTTTTCTTTTTTGATTTGTCTAATTTTGCTTCCATTACCCCATTAAAGTCACCTGCTATAATTAAGTTATCAAAATTCTGACTGAGAAGGTTTTCTCGTAGATCTTTAATGAACCTTGTTTTAGGCCCATTTGGAGCATATATATTACAGAAGAGCATCGTTTGACCATTTTCATTTAGAGTTATTCCAATCATTCTTCCATCCTCGTCTTTAAAGGCTAATTTGGGGTCTAATTTTGGGTTTGCATAAATGACTACTCCTCTTTTCTTCTCTTTAGCAGCCGAGTAAAATTCCCTCCCTATACTTTTCTGGGTTAAGTTTGAGACTTGTTTCTGATTTATATGGGTTTCTTGAAGTGCCACTAAATCGAATTTACCCTTTCTTATTTGATTAAACACTTTTTTTCGTTTAAACGGGGAGTTCAAGCCATTAATATTAACACTCCAACACTTCAACTGCATCTCTAATCTTTATTTATTTAGTTTCGTTCAGTTGGTCAAAGTCCAGCTTAGGAGGGTTTGGGGTCATGGCCGTGGTCAGCGTCGGGGAGAGGAATCTTGCTCTTTTCGTGTCCCTGTCATCTGGATCATTTGGTGACTGGTCCCTTTCTATATCTCTCAGCAACTTTTTGTGAAAGTTTTTTGCTTTGTCTTCAGAGGTGATCCAAATTCTTTCCTCTTTATACGTTACCATCATTCCTTCTGATCTTTCCCATCTAAATCGGATCTGATTCTTCTTTAATTCATCCGCTAGGAACTGGTATTTCGTTCTCTTCATCAGCGTGCTTACTGGGTATTCTTTCAGAATAAGAACTTTCTTCCCTTTATAGGACTGGGGATTCTTGTTGTTTTCCCTCAGTATTTCTTCCCTCAGGCTTCTTCTGGAGAAGTGCACTATGACGTCACGGGCCACTTTATGTTTTTTGGCATAATTTGTCATTATTCTATATGATTTCTCAATGTCATCTGAAATGTCTTCTTCTGTAGCTTCTAAGAGATCAGCTATTATTTTACAGATCTTACTTCTTATGTTTTCTTTCGGTTCTTCCTCTATATTTCTGAACCGTAATTGAAATTCAGTCTCTTTTTGTTCTAATTTCTCTTGCCTTGCTTCAAGTTTGCTACAGGTAGCCTCTAAGGTCTTCACTTTTTCTTGCAGTATGTCTTGTTGTTTTAGTTCTTGTTTATCCTGTTTAATTACATTGATGTCAAGTTGTACTGAGTTATAATTTTTTTTCATTTCACTTAATTCATTTGAGATCTCATTTTTCATCTCCAGCATTTTTTCCTGAAACTTTGTCTGATTTTCTTGGGCTACTTTTTGACTTTCAGATATTCTTAGTATTTCTTTCAAGATATCTTTTAGATTCGGGTTGTCTGGGAGAGAGTTTCTTCTTTGTGGTAGTTTTGGTTCTTCTTTTTCTTTTTCCGATTTTGTCTTTGGTGTAGTCATTTTGTCTTTCAGTTAATTGTATTCAGTTAATATATTACTTAATTTAATAGCTGTATGTTACAGAGTTGTAATTTGTATGAATTTCCTTAAATTTATTAATAAATTCAGGAATATGCAAATTGATTTATCTAATAATTGATGTAGTTTTTTAGAGTCCCGATTTAGTGGACTTTTGCTAAAGGTCTGTATTTATATTACAATAATTGATTCTTATAGTTCCAATTGACTTGATTGCCTTGATTACCTTGGTTTTAATTATTTCATTCACTTTTAAGTATGTCAGTTGATTGAAGCTGACTGTGTCAATTAGAATTGATTGGAAAAATTCAGTTAATATTAGGGTCTTTGTTTTATCTTCTTTCTTCTATTTTTCACCCAAAACACCTCTCCGTTGCTCCCCTGCTATGCACCAATTTCTTTAATTTTGCTCGGTCTGTCGTCAGCGCTTTTGATGTCCTCCGTCGTCTCCGTCAATTCGTCGATCCTGTTGTCCTGTTGTCCGTCGTCCGTCGCTCGCCCTCACTTTTCACCCCTCGCTCCTTTGAACTTCTGTCCCTCGCCGTCCCTTGCCGCGCCGATCCTCTTCACTCCGTCTCCGTCGCCTCCTCCGTCTCCGTCGCCTCCTCCGTCTCCGTCCCCGTCACTCCGTCGCTCCGTCACTCCGCCTATTACTTTTTTTGTTATTATTAGTTGATGTTGTCTGTGTTTGTGTTTGTTAGATATTTATTTACTTATTTTATTTTATGTGGCTTTTCTATTAGATGGTGTTGCTTTATACTTATATTTGTATTTTCCAGCTTCCTTATTGTCTAGGTGTCTTCTCTATGATCTTTGGACTTACAAATTAGTCCCTCTATCTTCTTGTTTCCTGTTTCCTGTTCTCTATGGTCTCACTTCTTCTGGCTGCCGCTTCCTGTTTCCTGTTTTCTTTCGCCAGTCAGTGAGTTGACTCTCTAGCCACATAAACTTTCTTGTAGCTTTGCTTTGGGAAGGAGGGAGCGTAGACAAAACAATTCTTCTCTCAAGGTCAGTATTTTTCCAAGATGTCTCTTTGTCTTTCTCTGTCTCTCCCCCCCCCCACCTTTCCAAGTTTACTTCTGTAAGCTTTTATTTTTTAACAGAAATTTCTCTTCTGCTTCTTGCCTTTGTTAATTATCTTTCCTTTACTTTTGGAGAAAGCTGTATTAATCAATTCAGGGTCTTTTCCAGTTAAATTATTTCTTTTAATTTCTGTCCCCTCCGCAGGGGTAATTAGTTCTTATCCTTCCCAGGAAGCTATTTGATCTTCAAATAGAGATTCTTTCTTTTAAATACTCACTTTGTGCTGTTTATCCTTTCTTTTCTTGAAAGTGGAGGCGGCCAGCAGTGAGCCGGTTATACTACCGGCGCTGTCTCTTTAGCGACCCGCTTGCCCTGTGGGTACCAGAGTTCCCGGGTCCGTGGACCCTCGCCCTTGAGGGGAGGGGGTCTCCTAGACCATCGGATGGTGCCCTGCGGGTTTAGCAGTCTACCAGGTCTTTTCCACCTGGCAGAGGGAGCCTCAGATAGGCTCTACCCGGTCGCAAAGGCGATGGCACTCGAGAGCTCTCAGAATGCCCGTCCTGCCGCCATGCCATCCACCCGGAAGTACCGTGACTGTAGAACTTTTTAATAGTATTTTTAAGTTCTTATTTCAGCAACTTGTGGCATTTGTCCAATTGTGAAAACTTGTAAAATTGTGCCAGCACCTTTGAGTGTTGGCTGACTCTTGGATGTCGTCCACATCGCAGACATAATAATAATAATAATAATAATAATAATAATAGTCAACAACTTTATTTGTACCCTGCCCCCATCTCCCCCAACGGGGAGGCTTACATGAGGCCAAGCCCGAACAATAAATTACAATAAAATAAAATACACATTACAATAAAATAAACAACACTACCAGAAGTTTATATGCATCATAAAAGCAAGCTAGCAAGTTAGTTTGAAGATGTGATAACAGTGAGAAGAAAGCTTTTAGTAAAAAGAAGTGTTTAAAGGAAAGAGATGTTCATTTGACTTCATTCAGCTGGTAGAGTAATGCAAACTTTTACTGCACACTACTTAGTTGAAAATGAAACAGATGGGGAAAATAAGTAGTGAGAATAATGGTTTCAAATTATTTTGCTGTTTACCAAACAGCAATTTCTCACTGTTTCTTGGCATTGTCATTTTTCAAACCAAAATATATATTTTCCAAATAATCAACTTGGAAATTCCAAATGAGATTCAATGCCCTTTCCCTTACATCATCTACATAAATATATTGCAAAACATTACTGAAAAGTGGCTGGGTGTTAATATAGCAGAAGAGAAAAGTGACAGTAAACATTTTTATAGATTTGGCAGAAATCCATGTCAGTGTCAGCTTGGCAGCCACTTTAGGCAGGAAAAGTGCTTTTCCCTCTGATATATGATATAGAACATATGTGAAAAAAATATTCCTTCCAAGCTTGGCTGAAACATTCTGGGAGTTGTAAACCAAAAAATTAACTTTCCCATCTTTGAGGTACTCCAGGAAGGAGACTGTAATTACACTTCAGTTTGTAAAAGAAACTCAAGACTGTGCAAAACCATTCAATTCAAAAGAAACACCCCCCTCAATTTCCTCACATGCATAGAGACATAATCAGTGTTCTATTCCTTTGCTAAGAGATTGTTTCTTTTGTCTGCCTTCACGTCTGTCTTGTCTACAATACGTCTGTCTTGTCTACAATAAATAAATAAATCTTGAGATGGCTAAAAAGCTTTTAAACATTTTAAATTACAGGTTGGAGAATAGATAGTATAATTAAATCATAATATGTCTGCAGATGGAAAATTAGTGCCCAGTTCATCCAAAAGTTTCATACTTCAAGAAAATTCAAAAAACAATGAGAGACAAGTTGTTATGTATACTATGTTAGAAATTGTTTTCCATATGAAATACCACATTCACTTTAGAGCTACTAATCAGGACATTAGCATAAAAAGATTAGGTGAGTTTATTAGCTGAAAAATTAGCTGTGGGTAGGGTCATTTTGTTTAGTTCGGTTCTACCTCTCACTCTTCCCTGTTTTCCAGGCATTCTGGGGTCAGAGAATTCAGCAATAAGATGGATGCAGAAGGTCTACTTTAGCTGAAGGGTCATATGTTCCTAAGGTTTGCATATGATCTTTTAGTGTTTAATGTTTTAATTTTATTATATTTTAATTTTGTATAGGTTTAAATCTATTTTGTTTTAAAATATGTTGATTAAAATAAGTCCCTCTCAAAAAGGGGAGAAGTAAAGTTGTGCTGTTTCTTCTTGCCATTTTGAGAGAGTTTGCAGAGGAAAACAGAGGTATTTGGAAGTATTACAGGGTTCTGAGCAACCTGTAGAGGAGGTGGTGGAAGAAGTTTTGCCTGATTTCATGTTTGGGAGAGGGTGTTTTGTGTTGTAATTTTGAGGTACAACTAAAAAAAATGTAAAGGAGTTTGGAGGACTTTTGAGATTGCGGGACTTCAAGGACCACAAACTGGGATTTAGTTGCTACAGGCTACCCATAGGTGGTACTATGGCCACTGTATGGTCCACTAGCTGCATATTTCTCATTGCTGGCTTGACTCTGTAATCAATATATGCACTTTTTCACAATTACCATAATTATTTTAATCTTGTTGCGATCTTCCTCCCAATCCATTTTTTAACTTTTAGGTTTTCTACTTCACACTTTGTGAAAGATATTTCTCCCTTTCCTTTCCCCCCATATCTCTTAATCAGATGATCAAAATGAAAGCAGTTTAATTCAGTCAAGAATTGTCTTTCCAAATGGAGACATAACTTATAAAAAGGTGGCAATAGGTTAACACCCTCCACTCCTTAAACTGCATCTTTAAGCTAGATGGATTACATGGGTGACATAGCAACTAAAAAATCCAATTGACTTCCATTTAGTTATATATCCATGGCTTCTAATAAATAGAATAGCCAGGGTCACTCATAATTATATGGAAGCAGAGCTAGTCTTAGAATGCACTAGGAACATTTTTATTTGGTGTAAGGTTTAAACAAAGCCAGGCATGTAGCCGGGGGGGGGGGGGGCTTGAGGGGCTTGAGGGGCTTCAGCCCCCCCAAAAAATTCTTATGGTGGTTCGCAAAAAGGCCTTACTGGTGCATTATTTAAACTGTTATGTTTATTCATATCATGATCTGATCACCATACTCAATATATCCCATATGCATGGGGGTATTGGGGTAATGATACAAAAGCTTTGCTAGGCTAGACCCTCTTTCACTCAGACTCAGCCCCCCCGAAACTCAGCCCCCCCCCCAAAACCACCCCTGAAAAAAATTCAGCCCCCCCCCCTCCCGAAACAAAATCCTGGCTACGGGCCTGAACAAAGCATTTGGCCACAGTGAAAATCTATCTCATCTTGTGGAAAGTTCTTAAAAGATTGTGCAAAATGTATTAAATAAAAGTATATAAATGTTGTGGTTATAGAAACTGTAAGAGATGCAGTGAAAATTGTGAGAGATGAAAACAAAACCTCCAGTTGAGGCATGACATATAGTTAAATATTAAGGACCTCATCATATGCAGGGAGAGAAGCATCTTCTCTCCACTGCTGACATGGACTTCCCTAGAACCCATTAAATGATGAAGGGCTATTTCCGGCAGGACTCCATGGAGCTCTGTGACAGCAGTGTTGCGGCAGTGGAGTACTCCTCATAGACAAAAGGCAGAGGAGCTGAAGAGAAAGTGGGGTATGGGGAAAAATCATGGGAAGGGATACAATGGGCCCCAATCATAGGAAACACAGCATGATGGTTCCCTCTGCTGCCCCAGGATTCCTCCCACTGTCCCCAGCTTTTGAAATGGCCATCTGATAAGGTCCTAAATAAATGTGGCCTACTGTTGGCAGTCTAACAATAGTCAGTAAAAATGCTAGTTGCTCTTGTGAGATGTGGGTGGGAACATCAGCCAGCTGCTTCGTGATCATCAATGGCAACAGCTGCATCCCAGTAAGTGGGATTGAAGGAATTTTACTCCCAAAAAACCCATCTTGGCCTCATCCTTACTCTTCTTGCAGCAGCTGCTAAAAATATTTTGTTCTGCCAGGTCTTTAAAAAGTGATGTGGGTTAGGCTGCTAATGTGTGGTGCTGTTCTGAGGGTTTGAATGTAGTTTCTCCTCTCTTTTTAAATGAATTTTGATGTTTTCATGTCTAATTTTTTGAATATATGAACAATTTAGCTTTTGTGATCTTGTATTTATACTTTTATTTAATGCTTATATTGTGTTTACTATGTTGTTAGTCTTGGGTTCCATTATCAGAAGAAAATGGGATACAAATTAAGATAATAATGATACTACTACTAGTAGTAGTAGTTTATGGACTCTATGTAGCCCCTAAACTAGGGGTTCTGAAGAGATCATAAAATAAATAACGGTTTTCAGTGTAACTCTTGATTACATATTCTTAACTGCCATAGTGTATTCTGACCATTCTTGTCAATAAAGAAGTTTCAGTAATGTGCCGCTGGGTTGCTATGAGGATATACAGTGGAAGAAGATCTTTGTAGAAAAGTGGGGTGTGGATTTAATATTACACTATTGTAGAAATTCCTTCCAAGAATCCTCCTTCTGCCCAGAGAATTGTTGGTTGCTCTCTTCCCACTTTGGAAGAACTTTATAAAAGCCTTAAGAAAGCTCAGAGCACTTGGGGATCCATCTCACCTGGCATATTCTTTCTTTCCTTCTTTCCTTCTTTCTTTTGAATTTTTGTCATTTGGCAGATGGTACAGGCTGACAAAGATAAGGACAAATAGACTGAGAGACAGCTTTTATCCTAGAGCTGCAGCTATGTTGAACTCCATGGTTTCGCATTGATGTGGCATTGGGGGCTGTGTGTTGGTGGTTGGGGTGTGGAGCGATGGGTGTGTTTGTGGTGTGTGCTGAGGAAGTCATTTAATTTAGCTGTGCAGTAGTACAATGACAATAAAGCTGTTCTATTCTATTCTATTCCTTCTGAGCCTAAATA